GCATAAATCTGATGAGTATTCTTTTGAAATCCTGTCCTAAAATTTCCCCTAAAAGCACATCCTTTATTTATTTTTTAAATATATGTATTTTTTTTTTACTGATTTTAGAGAGAGAGAAACCTCCATGTGAGAGAGACACATTGATTGGTTGCCTCCCACATGACCTTAACTGGGGCTGGGGATCGAACCTGCAACCCAAGTATGTGCCTTGACTGGGAATTGAATCCAATCCCTCAAAACAAAGTATTCAGGTTCCACTCTCCCTGTCCAGTAGCACTACCTCTCTCCTTTCATCTTGTATAAAATCAATTAAAAAATAAACTATTTCTGCCCTGGCCGGTTTGGCTCAGTGGTTGGAGCATTGGCCTGCGGACCAGAGAGTCCCATTGGTTCCCACTAAGGGCATGTACCAAAAAATAAATAAATAAACAAACAAACAAACAATTTCTGCCCAGCCGGTGAATCTCCGTGGTTGAGTGTCGACCCATGCACCAAGAGGTCGCCAGTTCAATTTACATGATAGCTGAGGGCACATGCCTGGGTTCTGGGCCACATCCCCAGTAAGGGGCATGCAGGAGGTGGCCAGTCAATGTTCCTTCTCATTGATGTTTCTATCTCTCTCTCCCTCTCCCTTCCTCTCTCTAAAATCAATTTAAAATTTTTAAAAAATAATTTCCTTGGGTAAAGATTTAAAAAATGGATTAAGATATTCTGGTTTCTCTTCAGATTGCATAAATCTTTCGCCTTTTACTAAAAATGGATTTAAAAAGAAAAAGAAACAGCCTGTCTAGTGTGGCTCAGTGGTTGAGTGTTGACCCATGCACCAAGAAGTCACTGGTTCGATTCCCGGTCAGAGCACATGGCCAGGTTGTGGGCCTGATCCCCAGTGAGGGTCATGCAGGAGGTGGCCAGTTGATGTTCTCTGTCATCGATGTTTCTCTCTGTCTCCTTCTCTCTTCCTCTTTTGCTAAAATCAATAAAGAAAAATATTCAAAGGAAAATGAAAAAGAATCACAGTACCCAGATTGGGCTCAGCTTAACTCAGACATCAGTTTCTCCTGATAAAAGTTGTCTGAGGTCTTAACTTTTTTCATCCTCCACTGATGGTTTCTCATAGCTGTTTCTACCCTCTGAATAACTAAATAATTTTTTAAAAGATTTTTTATTGCCTGGGCAGTGTGGCACAGTGAATTGAGTGTCCAGTCCCTCGGACTGAGAGGTCCTGGTTCATTCCCTGGTCAGGGTACATGACTGGGTTGTGGGCTCAATACCCAGTAGGGGGCAGTACCCAGCAGGAGGCAGCTGATGGATGTTTCTCACATGAATGTTTCTATGTGTTCCTTCCTCTCTCTCTAAAAATTCAATAAAAACATTTTTTAAAAGATTTATTTTCTTTTGGAGACAAAGGGGATGGGAGAGGGAGAGAGACAGAGAAACATTGTTGTGACAGTGGAACAGCTGTCCACTGCCTCCTGCACATCCCCCACTGTGGATCCAGCCTGCAACTCGGGCATGTGGCCTGACCAGGAATCCAGTCGGCAACTTGTTTTTTGTAGTATGTGGAATGACGCCTAACCTGCCAGTGTAACACTCATTATTAATTGCTTTCTGTAAATTGCACTTTATTCCCCCCCTTTTTTTTAAGCAATACAAATTTATTTCTCACAGTTCTGGAGGCTGGAAGTCTAAGATCAAAGTGTTGGTAGATTTAGTTTCCTCTGATGCATCTCTTCTTGGCTTGCAGATGGCTCACATGGTCTTTCCACTGTGCTGTGCAACTGGTGTTCTTTGTGTGTCCTCTTTTTATAAGGGCACCAGTCAGATTGGATTAGGGTCCACCTTAAAGATCTCATTTTAACATCTCTTTCAAATCCTAATCTCCAAATATAACCACATTCTGAGATACAAGAGGATCAGGACCTCAACATATGATTGCAGGGTGGTGGGTGGTGATGGGATGTTACAAATTCAGCCCATAAGAAATAACAAGTTATGTGATGAAAGTAAATAATGCATGGGAAAGCCCTGGCTGGTTTGGCTCAGCGATTAAAGTGTCGGCCTGCGGTCCCTGGTTCAGTTACCGCTAAGGGCATGTGCCTCGGTTGCAGTTTGTCCCCAGCCCTGGTTGGGTTGTGCGGGTGCAACCACTCGATGTGTCCCTTTCTCTGGACCACAGGCCGATGCTCTAACTGCTGAGCCAAACTGGCCAGGGCTGATGTGTCCCTTTCATGTCGATGTTTCTCTCTTTCTCTCCCTCCCACTCTATCTGAACAAAATATGAAAACATGTCCTCGGGTGAGGATAAAAATATAAAATAAAAATAATGCATGAGAAGATATATAGGCTGAAGTAGATTAAGTACATTAAAAAACAAAAACTTCTTTTTTTTTTTTTTATCATCCTCACCCGAGGACATTTTTCCATTTTTTGTTCAGGTAGAGTGGGAGGGAGAGAGAGGAACAGAGAGAGAGAGAGAAACATCGACGTGAAAGGGACACATCGAGTGGCTGCCACCCGCACAACCAACCAGGGCCGGGGACAAACCGCAACCGAGGTACGTGCCCTTAGCGGGAACCGAACCCGGGTCTCTCCAGACCGCAGGCCGATGCTCTAACCGCTGAGCCAAACCGGCCAGGGCAAAAAAAACAAAAACTTCTTAAACTCTTATTATAAACCATTTCTAGTAGCACTAATTTTTCTTCTGACATAAATTTCTCATGCACAGGAGTCCCATCAATCACTAGAGAAGTGATAATCTATTTCCTGCAAGACAAGAAGATGGGGTTTGGATGCCCCTCTTGCATATCTGTTTTGCCTAAGAACACAGTAATCGCTGTCCCATACTCAAACAGAATTTGGTAAGATGCTCTCAGTTTCATAAATTTGTCAGATTCTTTTTTTTTTTTGGTGGTACATGCCCCTAGTGGGAACCAAACCCCGGACTCTCTGGTCTGCAGGCCAAGGCTCAACCGCTGAGCCAAACTGGCCAGGGCAAATTTGTCAGATTCTCAAAGGAACCAAATATATCTTAGATGACTGAGTGGGCAATACTAAATGGAAAGTCAATGTTGTTCTGATTGGACACCATCAAAGAGGATACACACAGGGAAGATATTCTATGTGGAAACCAGAGGCAGTGATTACTCCTTGTTCTTCTTGAGAGTGGCCTAAATCCCTCCTTATCTTCCAAGTAAAGGCCTACACTCAACACTGAGAGACTTACAAAGTACACTAAGGCTTCCGACTCCATGCAGTAGAGTTGGCAGAAAATGGTTAGCACGTGCCAGCTCAGAGTGAATGTATTTTGTGTCTAAATGAGACTATATGTCCATTTGGATCTACAGTCTTTGTAAATTATTGAAATAATACTTTAGACTGCCCTAGCCAGTTCGGCTCAGTGGATAGAGCATTGGCCGGCCACCGGGGGGAGTCCCAGGTTGATTCCTGCTAAAGGAATTTACCTTGTTTGTGGTTGGTCCAGTTCCTGTTGGGGTCCTGTGGGTGGCAACCACTCGATGTATCTCTCTCACGTGATGTTCCTCTCTCTCTCTTTCTGCCGCTCTATCTGAGGATAAATGAGAAAATATCCTCCTGTGAGGATTAAAAAAAAAAAAAAAAAAAAAAAAATACGCCCTGGCTGGTTTGGCTCAGCAGTTAGAGCATCAGCCTGCGGTCCAGAGAGACCCGGGTTCAGTTCCCGCTAAGGGCACGTACCTCAGTTGCAGTTTGTCCCCGGCCCTGGTTGGCCGTGGGGGTGGCAGCCACTCGATGTGTCCCTTCACGTCGATGTTTCTCTCTCTCTCTCTTTTCCTCTCTCCCTCCCACTCTATCTGAACAAAAAATGGGAAGAAAAAAAATGTCCTTAGGTGAGGATAAAAAAAATAAATACTGTAGACCATTCTGAATTTCATAAATACAGCGTCTCCAAACACGGGATCGGTTGCAGACAAGACTCCCCAGGAACATGCCAACCGCCCCTGAAAGGCCAAGTTTTTGTTCCCCAGCGCCACTCCCAGGATCCAGGGGGGACGTTGACAGGGATGCTGATGCCCACTGGGTGTGTGAGGAAACTAGTTACCGAGAAAGGAATACACTCCACCGCCAGTGAGGGCGGAGGAGAGACGTGGAAGCCAGTTACAGAGTTTACCTCTGGCTGGTTCACTCCCCGGTGAGCTCGCCCACCTTCCCGTCAGAGTGTCAGGCCTGTACTTCCAATATGGCTGCATCCGTGAGCAACCGTCCAACCGTCCATGCCTGCCCACCCCCCTCTAATCTAGGCCACCCCCTGAGGATTTTTATTATTTATTTACTCACCTGAGGACATTTTTCCATTTTTTATTCAGACAGAGTGGAAGAGAGAGAGAAACATCGACGTGAAAGGGACACATCGAGTGGCTGCCACCCGCACAACCCACCAGGGCCGGGGACAAACTGCAACCGAGATCCGGGCCCTTAGCGGGAACCGAACCCGGGTCTCTCCGGACCGCAGACCGACGCTCTAACCGCTGAGCCAAACCGGCCAGGGCTCCCTGAGGATTTTTTTTTGTTTTGTTTTTTGTTTTATTTCCTCACCCGAGGATATTTTTCCATTTTTTGTACAGATAGAGTGGGAGGGAGAGAGAAGAAGGGAGAGAGAGAGAGAAACATCGACGTGAAGGGACACATCGAGTGGCTGCCACCCGCACCACCAACCAGGGCCGGGGACAAACTGCAACCGAAGCACGCGCCCTTAGCGGGAACCGAACCCGGCTCTCTCCGGACCGCAGACCGACGCTCTAACCACTGAGCCAAACTGGCCAGGGCTCCCTGAGGATTTTTAAAAAAATAAACGGCACGTTGGCGCTGGAGCATCCTGTTGGGGCGGGACTTCCGGCAGTTCCTCTTGTCAGTTTGAACTCAGTCCTGAGTTCACCGAGTCGGAGCCGCCGGAGAGTGTGGTCGGCACCTCAGCGGGACCCGAGGAGTCGCCCCGCTGTGCAGACGCGGGTCCGAGACTTGCGGCGTCTCCGTCTGGCCGGGATCTGGGCCTCGAGCCTCGCAGACCCCGCTCCGCCCGGTGAGTCCGCGGCCGCGCTGAGGCGCCCGGCTGAGGTGAGGGCGCGACCCCGGCCTCCCGCCTCCCCGCCCCGAGCGCCGCAGCCCGGAGCGGGCACCTGCCGCGTCCTGCAGCCCGGGCACCAGCCTTCGGGACAGCGAAGCGCTCCGGGGTGACGGGGGTGACGGGGTGGGGGAGGGTGACAGGCCGAGGACCCCGGGCGGCAACGCAGACGCGCAGGGGCGGCCGAGCCGGGAGGACCCGGCCACCCGGCCCCGTTTCGTGTCTAAAAGCAGCGGAGGCGGTGAAGGGAGTTGTGCCTGAGGAGTTTTGCTTTCATTCTAAGTCCGCGGGGGCCTTGCAGGGTCGTGAGCAAGAGGGACACTGTCTTGAGGTCCGATTCTCATGTGTCCCCAAAGCTGCTCAGAAGAGGAACAGACTGGAAGGGAGGGGAGCGCAGGGAGGACAGGAGGTGAGGTCCCGGGAAGACAACGTCAATGTCAAGAGTGTGCACTGAGGACGAGGCCTGAGGCAGTGCCGGCATCTCGAGGTCACCTGGCCCCGGGGCTGCGCAAGGGCCCTGAGCCGCCTGAGCCCGGGGACCCTGGCGGTGGTTGCCAGGCTCTCAACAGACCTTCTTCTCTCCAGATTCCTGCACCTGCAGAATCGCTCAGGGGACTGGTTCGTGGAGCTCATTTCAGGGCCTCACACTCTTTAAGAACATTTTTTCGTAATCGTAACCCAAGGATATGCTTTTATTCACCTGAGAGACAGGAAGGTAGAGAAAGACAGAGAGAGAAACATCTACTGATTGCCTACTCTGTGGGCCCCTATAGGGATTGAACTGGAAACCTGGGTGTGTCTGGTGACCTGAGTCCCACCTTCTACCTTTCGCTGTAGGGGCTGACGCTCCAGCCAGCTGACCCACACTGGCCTGGGCAGGGCCTCGGGCTCTTACGATCTCTGGGATAGAGGTGCGCTGGGGCTGTTGTGCAACTCTACCAGCCCTGGGGCCTGGGGACCTGAAGCAGACGCCGAGCACAGTGTCCAACGTGTAACAAGTTGTATGAGTATTTTTACCGAACTGTTTACAGTTGCTGGGAAGCACAATCTCAAGGGATTCAGAAAGTGCTCTGGAAAATGGCAGTTTTGCACTTTATTTTATAGATAGGTGGGAGAAAGCAAAGGGAGAAAACCTGAGGGATTGGGAAAAAGTAAAATGATAGACATACCTTTTTTACATAGGCGGGTACTGGGTACTTAACAGTCAACAATGTGCCCTGGCCGGTTTGACTCAGCGGTTAGAGTCTCAGCCCACAGACCAGAGTCCCAAGTTTTGCTTCAATTCCAGCCATCGGCTCATACCTAAGTTGCGGTTCGTCCTGGACCCCTGTTGGGGTTGTGCAGATGGCAACCAGTCAATGTGTGTCTCTCACATCCATGTTTCTCTCTCTCTCCCTCCTACTCTGAAGATAATTGTAAAAATATCCTCTGGTGAGGATTAAAAAACAAACATCCTCACATCCATGTTTCTCTCTCTCTCCCTCCTACTCTGTCTGAAGATAACTGTAAAAATATCCTCTGGTGAGGATTAAAAAACAAACATCCTTAACAGTCAACAATTAAAATGATAATAACAATGTGGAGGTTTGTGGTCTCTGCTCTGGTGAAGTTGTTGCTTTGAGAAGTCTGGAAAAGAGCAAATGTCTTTGTTATTCCAAAGGCATGGTATTAAATGTTATTCCAGTTGCAGTAAAACAACACACAGGCTCAGTTAAGGTGAAGATTGACCTTTGTTAGAGAAAAATACTGCCCTAGGACAAGACTATCCACCATGAACTTCATTCAACTAAAAGGTTTTATTTATTTATTTTTCATTATTATTTTTAAATGTTTTTATTGGTTTTTTTTAGAGAGAGAGAGAAAGGGAGAGAAAGATAGAAACATTTATGTGTGAGAGAAAAATTCATGGGCTGCCTCCTGTACGGTCCCCACCCCCCACTGGAGATCAAGCCTGCAAACCAGACATGTGCCGTGACCTGCAATAGAACCGGGACCTCTCAGTCCATGGGACTATGCTCAATCCACTGAGCCATACTGGCCAGTCTTAACTAAAAATTTTTTATTTCAGACCACCCTATGTGGTTACGTTAGGTCACTGAGTTTGTAAGACTGCCATGCAGGCTTCCCCTGAGCTTATCAGGTTTAATTTTTTTTTTTTTTTAAATCTTCACCAGAGGATATTTTTTCAAATGTCTTTAGATGGAGTGGGAGAGGGAGGAGAGAGAGAAACATTGATGTGAAAGAGACACATCTAGTGGTTGCCTCCAGCACAACTGCAACCAAGGTACATGCTGTTGACCAGAATCAAACCCTCGACTCTTTGGTTCATGGGCTGACACTCTAACTGCTGAGCCAAACCAGCCAGGTGAGCATGTCAGGTTTAATATGTGACTCCTTTTCAACCATACCTGTGTCCGAAGTCCAGGTTTAGGGCTGTGTTAACTGGTTTCTGTTTGTGTCAACCAGTGGAATGAGGTGTGGGAGGTCCTCCCAGGCATAGGTTCCAGATTTTGGCAAGGCTTTGTGGATAGGCTGAGCTGCTTCAGGCACCTGCAGGTGTTTGTTTCATCTTATATGAACTGGGAACAGTGGGACAGGATTCAGGTCTAGAGCATCTGTGTGACAGGTTTGGTGTTTGTTCTGTAGGTAATGGGAGAATTAGGGGATCTGGAGCCATGGAGACAGGGGATGTGACCTAGGTCTCATTAGAGTCCCTGGGACTATGATATGGAAAACACTTGGGGTGGTGAGGGGGCTGGTAGAAAAGCCAGGGAGGAGACTGCTGCGACAGTCTGGGTGAGTGTGATGGTACCTGGACCAGGATGGAGCTGGGAGAAGCAGATGGATTCTGCATGGGTGTTTTAGGTGTCACTGCTCAAATTTGAAATTAGAATTTTCTAATTTTGAGGTTGAGAGAAGGAGAGCTAGGGGTCATGACTTGAACGTTTGGTTTTATCAGCTGATGGTATAAAATCACCATCAAGTGAGCTGTGAAAATCAACAGTAGTTGAAATAAATTTCTTTGGGAATATCAGGAGATTTATATTTGGCCTATTAAAACAGTGAGAGGTTTTAGCCCTGGCCGGTTTGGCTCAGCTACTACAGCGTCAGCCTCTGGTCCGAAGGGTCACGGGTTCACATATTGTTTGGGGCACCACATGGGTTGATCACAGGCCCTGGTCTCTCTCTCCTCTCCCTCCCTTTTTCCCCTCCTTCCCTCCATTCTCTTTCTAAAAATCAATGGAGCCCTGGCCTGTTTGGCTCAGTGGTTGGAGCACTGGCACGCAGACCAGAGAGTCCCACTAAGGGCACGTACCTCGGTTGCTGTTTGTCCCTGGCCTGGGTTGGGGTCATGTGGGTGGCAACCCCTTGATATTTCTTTCTCTCTCTCTCCCTCTTCCTTCCTCTCTCTCTAAAATCAATATAGGAAAAAAATAAAAAATAAATAAATAAAAATCAATGGAAAAATATCCTCAGATGAGGATTAACAAAAAAAAAAAAAAGTATGAGGCGTTTTAGGAAGCTGCTCAGGGGTATCTGAAACTCTGAGGAGAAGTTCAGGATGAATACTTCTCCGTAAGGTAGCAGAGAGTACAAATACAGGGAATCCTGGTCAGGATAATAATGGTCGTAGTAACCAGGAAAAAGAGGATTGGTCTGAACACTGGGTTTCCTATTGGGGCTTCTGGTTGTGTGGTATGGGTGTCAAAACACAAGTTACAGGCAGAAGTGTTCATGTAGAGCATGGGGGAGAGGATGTGGTTTGGCAAACAGCCAAGGAGATTAGAGAATTTGGGATGGATTGGAGGCCTAAACTTAATCCAGCCAAGATGAGAGTGCGGCTGGTGGGTATTCACTGCTCTAAAGATTCACCAGGATATGGTTGTGACCGTTGCTGTGGCCTGGGATGTAATCAGGCTTGCGGATTAGTTTAGGGTCATAAGTGGTCATCTGTGAGACTCCCTGAGCATGGGATAGAAGGTAACTGGGTCTGGGCCTTGAATGAGGGTGAGGTGGAGAGAGGAAGGCTGTGACTGGTTAAGGGACTTTTGGGGGGTGGGGTACGTGCCCCTAGCGGGAACCGAACTTGGGACTCTCTGGTCTGCAGGCCAACACTCCAACCACTGAGCCAAATCGGCCAGGACTGGTTAAGGTGAAGGTTGATACTGTGTTTTTTGTGTGTGTCTTGGAAGGACAGGAGAACCTCAGGGCTATTGCCTGTCAAAACTGGTGTCAAATCATTCATACCCTCTTTATGGCCAACTTCTCTTTCTCAGAAACGTTAGTGACACCCACTGTATTTTTAGACAAGAGGCAGTTTGTCCTACCCACCAGGCCCATAGCTCAGGTATCATCCATCTGCCAATTGTTGTGGGAAGACACAGAGTCAATGAGAATATCAGAGAGTGTCTCCAGCAATACCAAGGCTGGGAATCTTCTCTGATGTGGGGAGTAGAGGAAACAGAGGAATTTGGACGGGATGGTATTTTGAACTTAGAATCCTAGGAGATAAACTGACCATGGAATGAACTGTCTCCATTATGCATTATGACAGGATATGAACTTTGAGGACGTGGCCATTGTCTTCTCCCGGGAGGAGTGGGGGCTCCTTGATGAGGCTCAGAGACTTCTGTACTGCGATGTGATGCTGGAAATCTTTGCACTTGTAGCGTCCATGGGTAAGACCTTCACACCATTCCTAGATTTCTGAGGTGATGTTCTGCCTACTCTTTTTTTCTCCATAGGTGTCTTCTGTCCCACAGTTAGGCCGCAAGCTCTGCCAATTTCTCCCTTTCCTGTCATACTTGCTCTGGTTGCCAGTGCTGAGTTTTGTGGACTCCCCTTCACACTATTGTCAGCCGGGCGTGCTGGGCCAGTGCTGCTGCTCACCTCCGATGTCTTTCCTTAAGGTTTAGATCATTCAGGTTCTGAGTAGTTGTACAATAGTGGGTGCAAGGAGGACCCTGTTTTTTCACAGGGTAGACATACAAGCTGGTCTCAGAGGAGGCCTGGCCCTGGAGAGTGACAGCTGTGGAAGGCATGACATAAAGGCTGTGTTGAGATCCTACCAGGAACCTCCCCCTCTGTGTCCAATCGAGTTTTGGTGCAAGTGCCACTGGACACCTCATTACTACCTTTTCTTACGTATACCTGACACCCTTCTAACTTCTTGTTTCATCTCTGACTCCACGGCTTGTGGGTACCTTCATGTGTGTGGCCTCCTTACACCACCTGTTGTTTTGTACTGCTCCCTCTGAAGTATTCTCCAGCATTGGCCTGCGTACCTGATATGAGATTAGCATATGTCCTTAAGTAGTCCTCAAACACCAGCTACTCGTTTATTGAATTTACTGGGAAAAGGACATGATCCTTTTGTGCAGCTTACCCATGTCACTAGCAGACAAGCTCTGCTAAATGTTAAGAGAAGCATGAGTTGTAGATCCTGCTTCTACTCTACGTACTGCATGCCATCTTGTGTTCTTTCTCTGGTGAGGTCTCCCCAGTTTTTTGATCTTCACAGGCCCAGTACTGAAGAGCAGCCACTTTTTCTTTTTCAAATCTTTTCTTTTTTATCCTCACCTGAGGACATATTTTCATTTTTTTGTTCAGATAGAGTGGGAGGGAGAGAGGGGAAGAGAGAGAGAGAGAAACATCAACATGAAAGGGACATATTGAGTGGTTGCCACCCACACGATGCAACCAGGGCCGGGGACAAACTGCAGCCGAGGTACATGCCCTTAGCGGGAACCAAACCCGGTCTCTCTGGACCGCAGGCCAACGTTCTAACCACTGAGCAAAACCGGCCAGGGCAGCAGCCACTTTTTTTTTTTTTTTTTTTTTTTTTTTTTTTTTTTTTTTTTTTTTTTTTAGCAGCCACTTTTTTGACCTGTCTCTAGGTCCCTTTGTTTTAAGACCAGGGATGGGGAAGGTCATTCCTGCGAAATCAATACCAGCTAATGTCCCACAGCTCCCCAAAGAGAAGTAGTTACAGCCATCACCTTAGGGGTTAAGTTGATCATTTTTTTTTTGTTTTTTTGTGTGTTTTTTTTTATCCTCACCCGAGGACACTTTTCCATTTTTTGTTCAGGTGGAGTGGGAAGAAGAGAGAGGAACAGAGAGAGAGAGAAACATCGATGTGAAAGGAACATATCGAGTGGCTGCCACCCACACAACCGACCAGGGCCGGGGACAAACTGCAACCGAGGTACGCGCCCCTAGCGGGAACCGAACCCGGTTCTCTCAGGACCGCAGGCCGACGCTCTAACCGCTGAACCAAACCAGCCAGGGCAAGTTGATCATTTTGTATGACCTTCAAATGATGTTATAAATATCCAAATGGCCCGTGGCAGAAAAATGACTGCCCATTCCTGTTTTAGACAATCCCATGGAACTAACATATTATGTCTATAATCTTTGTAATGGCACTTGCTCCTCAGAACAAAGTCCACAGCCATTTTTTCAGCATTTCTTTGCTTTCAGATTGTCGGCATAAAACAGAAGATGATGAGACTCCTTCTAAGCGGATTGTATCTGTAGGAGAGTCACAGGTCGGAACTTCTAAGACTACTCCATCAATCCAGAAGACCCATCCCTGTGAGCGGTGTGTCTCAGTGTTGAAAGATATTTTGCACCTGACTGGTTTCCCAGCCACAAACCTTGAACAGAAAGCACGTGTGAGAGGCTTCTGTTTCAGTGCAAACTTGCACCAGCAGCAGGGGGATGCCTGTGGACAGAAGCCCTGGATAACAGATATGGACAGGGCCTCGTTTCTGACCAAAAGTACTTTCTATGCATCAGGTGTGCCTTTCACCTGTGGGAAAGTTGGGGATGACTTTCCAGCCATCTCAGGTCTTCATCAGCACCAGGCCACTTTTAGCACTGCAGAGCCATGCAGTTTTAGTAAACATGAGCAGGCCATTCATGGTGGAAAAAGTGGTCTCCAGTTAGGTGAATGTGAAAAAGCTGCCAGCCACAACCAGAAACTTGTTCCACACCAAAGTGTTTGTTCTAGAGAAGGGCTTTGCAAGTGTACCAAATGTACAAAAGCCTTTGGACAAATCTTTATTCTTATACAACGTAGAAGATGTCACACTGAAGGTATTTCTTATGAGTGTAGCCCTTCAGTTTACGGGAAGCCCTTCAGTGAAAACTCTAGCCCTTTAGAACACCAGAGAGGCACCGGAGAAAAGCCGTATGAGTGCAGCATTTGTGGGCAGTGCTTTAGAGAACACACGAATCTTACTCAACACCGTCGACTTCATTCTGGGAAAAATCCTTTTGAGTGTGGTGAATGTGGGAAATCTTTTAACTGGAAATCTCACCTCCTGATTCACCAGAGAGTTCACACTGGGGAAAAGCCATTTGAATGTAGTGATTGTGGGAAGTCCTTTAGCCATAGCTCTGCCCTCTTTAAACACCAGAGAGTTCACAAAGGAGAAAAGCCACATGAGTGTAGTGATTGTGGGAAATGCTTTAGCTATAAATACATCCTCCTTAATCACCAGAGAATTCATACTGCGGAAAAGCCATATGAGTGTAGTAAATGTAGGAAATCGTTTAGACAACACTCCCACCTTATTCAGCACCATCGATTTCATTCTGGAGAAAAGCCTAATGAGTGCGATAAATCTGGGAAATTATGTAGCAATACCTCCAGCTTCCTTCAACACCAGAGTAGAGAAAGACCTTATGTGTGTACTGAATGTGGAAAATCTTTTAGCTGCAAATCTGACCTCCTTAGACACCACCGAGTTCACACTGGAGAAAAGCCTTATGAGTGTACTGATTGCGGGAAGTCCTTTAGAGAAAGCTCTGCCCTCATTAAACACCAGAGAGTTCACACTGGAGAAAAGCCATACCAGTGTCGTGACTGTGGGAAGTCCTTCAGCCAAAGCTCTAACCTCATTAAACATCAGAGAGTTCACACTGGAGAAAAGCCTTATGAGTGTAGTGATTGTGGCAAGTCCTTCAACCAACGCTCTGCTCTCACTCAACACCAGAGAGTTCACACTGGAGAAAAGCCAAATGAGTGCATTGTTTGTGGGAAATGTTTTAGGTACAAATCTAATGTTATTATTCACCAGAGAATTCATACTGGAGAAAAGCCATATGAATGTAGTGAATGTGGAAAATTCTTTAGAGAACAGTCCTTCCTTATTAAACACCGTCGAGTTCATTCTAGTGTAAAGCGATATGAGTGTGGCAAATGTGAAAAATGTTTTAATCACAGGTTGGGCTTTTTTCAACACCAGAAAGTCCACATGGAGAAAGACCAAATGTAGTGAATGCAGGAAGTATTTTAGCTGCAATTCCCACCTCCTTAGACACCAGAAAGTTCTCAGTGGAGAAGAGCCTGAAATGTGCAAACAATGTTTTATTTTTTGTTTTTTTTAATCCTCACCCGAGGATACTTTTCCATTTTTTGTTCAGATAGAGTGGGAGGGAGAGAGAGAAAGAGAGAGAGAGAGAAACATCAATGTGAAAGGGACACATCAAGTAGCTGCCTCCCACACGACCCAACCAGGGCTGAGGACAAACTGCAACCGAGGTATGTGCCCTTAGCGGGAACCGAACCCGGTTCTCTCTGGATCGCGGGCTGACGCTCTAACCACTGAGCCAAACTGGCCAGGGCTAAACCTTTCTTAATGGAACGTATGTTTTGCTAGATTTCTCAGCAGTTTCAGGTACAAGTGCATCTTTAAGGACCTGCATTTCACTTTCTAATCCACCCAGGGCTATTTCCAGATTGATGTTAGTTTTGTGACTGTAGCAGTTTCACCTCTACTTCCTGGATCCCTGAACAGTGTGCCTCTCTCTGAACTGCAACATGATCTGGGAGGCTGACTTCTGTTAGTTCTTTTATTTGAGGAAATTACAAATACTCAGAGCTTTTGGTGGGATCCTCATTCTTTTCTCTCTGACCAGAGACTGGATCTGACCGTGTTAGTCCAGAGGACCTGTCCTCAGCTAATACTACCTCTTTGAGCCAACTGAGAAATCTGGGCAGGGCTCTTTGTATTGCTTTAATTAGATGTGTGTTTTAATTCCATTGATCTATGTACACAATTTATCTCTGTTCACTAAAAAATGGTTTATTAAAGTGTTAATGTTTTATATTGTTGGCTCAATATTTCTCATGTAATTTAAAATCTTGAGGTGCCCCTGAATACAGATGTATATAAAATATACTTCCTACTATTTCAACTTGATTAGATTCCTCTAACTTCAACTTGTCAGATAAATAAAACATTAACCTCTCAAATTTACAACTTTATGAGCTTACGAATTCCACTTTCTTTTATTTTTTATAAAATTATAAACCTTCTAAAAGAAGCCAAAACCCCTGAATTAAAATTTTTAATCTTCCTTTTACTATGTGTATATATATCAAAACAACATATATCTTATAAATATCTTATAGGTTTGTCAATTATTTCTCAATAAAGGTGAAAAGAGATTAGAACTGCACATACACAGAGTCATAATCTCAAACAACACTGAGAAATAGAACAATGGAAGAAAAATTTTAGTATTCATCAGAGAACAAAAATAAAACAATATGCCCTGTCAGTGTGGCTCAGTGGTTGAGCATCAACCCATGCACCGAGAGGTTGCTGGTTTGATTCCCAGTCGGGGCACATCCCCAGGTTGTGGGCCAGATCCCCAGTGGGGGCATGCAGGAGGTGGCCAGTTGATGTTCTCTCTCATCCATGTTTCTATCTCTCTCTCCCTAAAGTCAATAAAGAAAAAAAAAATTAAAAAGCAATGACAATATACTTGTTAATTTACTTTTCCCTGAAGAGAATACACTTTGTATTTGGAAAAGTAAAACGTTAGTTGTCAGGAGTTCTGTTAGGGGAATGAGCAATAAAGTGCATTATCAGCAGTCAGAGATAGATAAAGATTTGTTTTTAATCCTCATCTGATGATATTTTTTCCAAATTTTTTAGAGAGTGCAAGGGAGGGAGGGAGAAAGAGAGAAACATCGATGTGAGGGAGACACACTAATTGGTTGCCTCCCTCACCACCCCTACTGGGCCAGGCATCAAACCTGCAACCCAGATACCTGCTTTTGACTGGGAATCGAACCCGTGACCCTTCTGTGTGCAGACTGTCACTCTAATACTGAGTAATACCGGCCATTGCAGCAGTCAGATATTGATATCAGGGACCATCAACTCTGGAACATTATTCTTTATACTCCCAGCTCTGTTAACTGTAAATCAACTCTTTTGGTTTCATTTTGAAGGGTAGTTTTTTTTATTATTCTTTTCAGGAGGAAAAGGTGGCCTTTATGAGGTAATGATAGGGACTGGGTATATTACGTATGTTCCTTGTAATACTTTGTCATGTCTGCCAACAGTTGAGCAGAGTTTGGCTTTTAAGATGAAATTTGTGGACACATGAGTCTTCTAGTCAGCTGGGTGGGTGCGTGGACTATATGGCCACAAGGCCTAGTGAGAGAGGACATTTGGCCAAGGGCACTCAACGTTTTCTGAAAGATTTACTGATTTTAATTTAGGAATGCCATTATTTTTTTTGTTTTCCAACTTTTTCATGATATTGTGGGTGATAAAAGAGATGGTGTTGTTTTGATTTAGAGGTAACACCTGATATTTATTTTATTTTTTAAATTTATTTATTTGTTTTAATCCTCACCCAAGGACATTTTTCTGTTGGTTTTTTTTGTTGAGATAGAGTGGGAGGGAGAGAGAGAGAGACATTGACATGAAAAGTACACATTAAGTGGTTGCACCCACACGACCCAACCGGCGCCTGGGACAAACTGCAACCGAGGTACGCGCCCTTAGCAGGAACTGAACCCGGGTCTCTGGACCGCAGGCCGATGCTCTAACTGCTGAGCCAAACCGGCCAGGGCCTGATATTTATTTTATAATGGTCCCTATAATGGACCATTTGAAGCAAAAGCTTGGGATGAACCCAGGTTGGAAACAATCACTCTTACAGTGAGTAAGGGCTGTATCTTTTCAGCAAAGAAATGCGTTAACTCAGACTGGAAACCTTCAAATTCAAAGGAGAATAGAAGCTGGATCAAATCCATGTGAAGTTATTCAAATGGCCCTTCATCTATGGCTTTTACTTTTTCAGATACTCATAGTTGTGCTTGAGTAGCCCAGGCCACGTAGTCCTTATTCATTTATTCTAGGCTGGGGTATCAAAAATTTGGGAAGACAGTTTCACCCTCTCTGGTGCCTTTCCTGTCCCCCTCTTCTTCCCCATAAATAAAAACAATTAAAAAAAAATTGGGGAATAAAGAGGTGAGAATTCTCCCAAACTGCCCACTCAGGAAAACCTCTTTGGTATAAGTACCTCAACTGTTTCCCCCAGTGGCCCCACTCTTTCCTCCACGTACCGCCCCCCGGAAACATCAGGACCCCAAGAGGAACCCGTCGTAGGCTCTTGAGCTCTTTACATCCTCCAACAGTCCCTGAGGCAGGTCTGCTCACTATCCCACTTTACACGGGTGGAAACTGAACCTGGGTTGGGTTTGGTGGGGGCGTTTAATGACCCCTGGGAGGGTACAGATCCAGGAGTCAATTCCAAGCTCACAGCCCAGTATCCGAGCAAGTCTGGCCCGCTGCATCCCAGTTCATTCCCATTCTGGCTCCCCCCTAAGAGCGCCCTCCCTAGATCCGTTTTCATCCAGAGGGTGACCTGTAACTTCTCTAATTTCTGGATGACTATGGTTCCTATATTAGTCTGGTCAAGCTGCCTTAACAACGTACCTCACACTAGAAGCTTAAACAACAGAAATTTATTTTCTCAAATATTCGGAG